ATATATATATTGGCTCTTTTCCTGTATGCAGTTTGTTCACTGGAGAAATGGAATCCATTTGTTAGCCTGTCCTCTCCCTAGCAGATGAAATGACATTAGCTTCTCAAGAATAATTTTATCTCTTTGTTTCTCGAGAGCTTACTGGACAGCCTAGTACAAAGTAATGGGTGCTTAATAAATACTTGCAGAATGGAAAAATAAACAAAAAATGAATGAATACATTTAACTTGTGAGTCTAGCTATTGCATCTTATGAATCATATCAAGATACATTGTCTCTTCTACAGAATATGAGTCTCTTCAAGAGAATTTGTCATGGAGTATTTGAAATCCAGACTGCCTTGGAATTTTCAAGATATATGATCAGCATGTATTTTTAAATAGCCAAGTTTCTTTCAAAAGAGTTACAAGTAACTATAACAAGTTCCACAGTGGGCTCATGTGACACTTACTTTTGTGCATAAAAATTGTTCCAAGTCACCAAGCATGACGCCACACACCTGTAACCCTGGCCCTCTGGGAGATTAAGTGAGGAGGACACAAGTTTGAGTCCAGCCTGGGCAATCTAGCTACTTAGTGAGACCCTGTCTCAAAATATAAAGAAGGGCTAGAGATGTAACTCAGTGTGAAGGTCCTGGGTTCAATCCCCAGTACTGGGGGAAAAATGTTCCACATCCTCTGTTCCCAGAGAAGGAACAATCTAGATGTTAAAGGACTCTGTGTAACCACTCACACAAGGACTCAGGGTCAGCTTTTCTCCTATCTCACTTGCTATAATTAGTTGCCTTCTTCAGACCTGTTTGGGCACAAAGAGAGCCAGTGAGACAGCCATACATTTTGTTTGTGAAGCCAAGCTGAGCCCAGCTCAACAGAGCTTCGATTCAAAGGGGAAATAGAATATGCACGGAATGAGGGGACCAGGAACAAAGACTCCAGTATGACAATTTACAGGAGAGCTAAATAAGCACTCAGAATAGCATCAAGAAGGTAAAAAGCCTCAAGAATTTAGAAGAGATAAACTGGAAGGGGAAATGGAGAGGAGCTGGCAGGATCAATTTAAAATCAATGAAGAAATTTAAGACTGTTTTGAAGGAATCTTTCTAAAAGTAAGGTTTGTGGTAGTATTATTTGTATACCATAGAATTGCCCTTTTGGTGTATAGCTTATCAAGTGGGTTTTTACCATTATACAAGTGGGTTTTTACCGTCACAGCCATGATAAAAACTCTTTAATCATCTCAAAATTCTCTTGCTCCTTTGCAACACTTTGCAACCTCCCCTTTGCTTCTAATAACCCTGATATGTTTTACATCCCTCTAGAGCTACCTGCTTTAAAGGGATTTGAGGGGCTGAAGGTGTTGGCCCATGGTAGAGCGCTTGTCTAGCATGCATGAGGTCCTGCGTTCAATCCCCAGCATAATGATAACAATAAAATGGGTAACAATTTAAGGTGGGGAAGAATGGCAGGAAAGGACACTGTGAGACCAGCTAGGGGGAAACCAGGCCAGAATCTGGGTCAGACTTGAACACTGAACTCGTGGGCTAAGACAAAATGTATTGAACCTGTTTGTCTAACTAGAATTAGTATGTAGAATACATGAAGTGTTCTACTTATCAAAAATTGAAAGAAAGAGAAAGTCCAGTTTGGACTGACTAGAACGGACACCTCATAAAGGGAGCCATATAAATGGCCCACAAGCACCTTAACAGATGCTCAGCATCATTAATCGTCAGGGGGAGTAAATTAAATCTATAATGTGATACTGCATCCCACATGGACAGCTAAGAGGAGGAAGAGGTACACAAGGCACAGGACAGCCTGGCTCCCGACATGGGTGGCACATCCACTTTGGGAAACATCTGACAGTGTCTTAATGAAACTAGGTCAACACTTAGGTTATGGCCCCACAATTCCACTTCTAAGCACATAGCCAAGAGTTATGAATGTCGTTCCACAAAGAGACTGACACCAAATCGTTCACAGCAGCCTTAGTTGTCAAACCAATGGAGGGGTAGCCACACCAGGGAATGCTACGCAGCATTCTGAAGAGGCAAACTCTGACACACTTGATGGCGTGGGTAAGTGTGCAAAACATTGTGCTGAGTGAAAGACACAGAAAAGAGCACATTGTGTGTCAGTCGACAAGGTGGTACATAGCTGTTAAGTCCAGTACCCTGGAAGTCTGAGGCAGGAGGATCCAAGTTTGAGCCCAGTCTGGGCAACTTAGGAAGATGCTGTCTCAAAAAATAAAAAGGCCTGGGGATGTAGCTCAGGATAATGACCTAGATCGAGTTCAATCTCCAATATGAGAGAGAGAGAGAGAGAGAGAGAGAGAGAGAAGAAAAAGAAAAAAAACACTGTGTGATTGCATTTATGTGAAATATTACAGAATTTGGGGGAAAAATTAGGAATAATAGTTACCTCTGAGGGTTGTGGGCTCAAAAGAAGGGACAAGAAGGAACTGTGTGGAATGACAATAATATTCTGTATCCTGATCAGGCTTTGTGTTATGCAAATGTTTCTGTTTGTCAAAAATCATTAAACATTACACTTAAGATGTATACTTCACTGTATTTAAGTTTTATCTCACTAAAACCAAGAATAAAAAAGAACTACATGTAGGACCGGGGATTTAGCTCAGTGCTTCTGCTGCCTGCCTTGCAAGGGCAAAGGACCCGAGTTCAATCCCTGGTACCAAATATATAAAAAATAAGAACTACATGTAACCAAATATTGGATTCTAGTTGATGATATGCATAATAAAATGTTTAGAGATGGAGTGTATAGATGTATGGAAGTTCTTTTGACATACAGCAAAAAAAAAAATGGACTGAAGACTGAATAGGAAAGTGGCTACATGGATAAATTTGTGGTGAGAAGGTTAATTTTAGAAGCTAGATGGTAGGCATATGAGTGTTAACTAAAAAATTCTTTCATGTTTGCTGGATATTTGAAAATTGTTATAATGCATTGCTGGAAAAATAGGTTATAATTTAGGAAGAAGGAAAAGTAAAGGTCAGACAAAAGGAATGAAGCTAATGTTAGAGTACAGTATTATGAAGAATCATGGATCTTTTTCTTTGAGTTTCCAAAGAGTCAAAGCAAAAAGGGGCTGAGAATGGGGACAGAGAAAAAGGAAGAACGGTGGGGAGAGAGAAAGAGGTGGGGGAGGCAGAGAGAGAGAGTGAGAGGGAGGGAGAGGTCTCAGTTACAAGCTTAGCAATGCCCGAGTTATTACAAACAAACCTAGTAAAGCACTCTCCTTTTGAGGGGAGGGCAGGATCTTCTAATGTTGCCCAGGCTGGCCTATAACTCCTGAGTTCAATGAGCCTCCTGCCTCAGCTTTCTGAGGAGCTGTAACTACAGGTACCTCCCCAGCTTTCGCATGTGTTTAGGAAAGCACTACTTCTGGAAAGGAGACTGCAATGTGGTTGTCTTAGGGTACAGGCATGGCACAGAGACTTTCCTTATGAAACAAGCAGGATACTAATTTCTCTCTCACATCATAGACCATAGGTAATGCTTTGGGGCCAATACAGCCACTCTATTCAAGAGACCACTGGCAAAATAGGTGATTGGAGAGCCAAAATTCCACAACATAGAAAATGATTGCAATGATTTAGCCAGGAAAAAAGTTATACCAAAAGATAGAAAGAAGCTTGAAAATCTCTAAGAAATAGATTCTAGCACTTAGCTCATTCATCTACTTGGAGATATCCTGCTAAATTTGGTCTTCTCCGAATATGTACCATATGCTAGGTACCACAGGAAATGATAATAATAGCTTTCTTGTATCATATTTCAGCAATTCTAAGTTGCATATTTTTGTACATTTTGACATTTCCAAAATTGGGATGGGTCTTATAATTAATAGCATGTTATAACTGGTAAAATTTTTTTTCTTAATGGTATTAAAAACTAATTATTTCTTAGAAAGCAATGGCATCTTAATGCTGTTTATTTGTTTGTTTGAGACAGGGCCTTACTATGCAGTCCAGGCTGGACTTGAACTCTCTATGTGCCCCATGCTAGCCTCAAACTCACAATCCATCTGCTTCAGCCTCCCCAGGGTTGGCATTAAAAGTTTGTGCCACTGTGCTGGCAAGCACCTTGGATTCTTTAAAACACAATTTCTAGTACTTTGCAGTTCAAAGTTTATGCATCTTATCTGAGCTTTGCAAGATATTTTGGTGACATGAGTAATTATTCCTATTCCAAATATAAAACTTGGGATTCATGGAGGTTCAGTGACCTCACTCCAAGGTCCTCATGTAGAATATCATGATGTTGTAACTCTAATCTAAATATACTGTTTTTCTCCCAGTGTCACACAAAATGTTTATAGCATGAAAACTCCATGGAAACAAGAGCCTTGTTTTTATGCATTCCTGCATCACCAGAGTGTAAAAGGTTGCATGGCATATAGGAGCTATTTAATGAAGACTGAATGAATGAATGAACGAGCGAACATACTATGTGACAGAAGTGAAGGAGAGGTCGGAAGAGAGAGAGCTCCGTGGGCTGCAGTACTTCTAAATGGGAAGTGTAGACCAGGAGTGACTCTCTTGCCCTTTTCCCTGCTATGACAAACTCTCATAGGAGACGCAAACATCCATGGTGCCTTCTCCAGGTGAAGCCAAATAATCTAATACAAAGCATTCCGGGCTTTGTATCAGAGGATGTGGGTTATTTCCCTAGCGTAAAACGTTGGGGGAGAGAAAGTAACTTTCCTGAGCCTCAGTTTTCTTTTGTGTGGAATCAGGAACAGCAAAACCCATGAGGCCACATCCTGAGGAGGCTGAAGTGACGCTGGCTGCGTCATGGGTTCCTAGCAGGTAGGAA